ACAGCCGTGGGCAGACCGTGTCGGGACCGGACCGGACCGGACTGGACTGGTGCGTGTGTGGGGCCGGGGCCCGGCTTTCATGGCCCTCCCTCCTCACAGGGCTGCCCAGAAACCTTCGGAGTATCCTCAACTTGCTCTTGGGTTATTAATTGTCTATAATCACTAATAATTTCCCTTTTTCCCTAATTCAGTGTAGCGGTGATCTTTACAGACAGCTCTCCTTAGTATGTAGCTGGTTCTGATCGGCCTGCTCCGGGTAACCTGGGGTAATCCGTCCTGGATCTGACTGTCCGCAGTCCAGGCTTAACAGGTCTAAAATCAAAATGTGTGTTCATCTGGGTTTATTCCCTAAGAGGAGCACTGGCTTCTCAGTTTCAGACTTCTCTTTGCAAGATACCTAGACACTTACCTGAAAATAGAAACTGGAAATCCTGTGTAGTCTTGTTTCTAAGCCTCGAAATAAGAACCACTCCTGTTTAAAAGTCTTGATGATGTTACGTGCTCTCTGTAAATCTAGCATCTGCATTATTTGGGGAAGTCTTGGGCTCAGCTGTGGATAAATCTTGTAATGCACAAAAAAATTAAGAAAGAGTGAGAATGGTTATTGTACCTGGAAATCTGGGGAGGTCTTGTCTGAGGAAAATTAATTAGCATGAAGTTAATCGGGTTCTCCAATTTGTGTCTGTCAGATTTACAAATGAAAGAGCTTACATGAAACAGCAACTACTAAGATGTGGTCTGAGAATTGGACTTTTAAATGGGGATTTGATACAGTTCATTGATTGTTTTGGGGTTTTTTTCAATTAAAAAAAAATATTCTGCAAGTAAAGGAACATAGGAAAACCCCTGCACTTGTGTGATAGTTGTATCTGCCATGCATGTGCTTCTAGGTTTGAAGGCTTAAATACAATCCCTGTCCTATGAGAAAACTAGACTTTTTTCCCTAAAGAAAAATCATGTGTAAGGTCGTGTCTAGGGGTTTGGAGGCAATGCATATTTCAGCTTGCTGTATAAAGTACCAGTGGGCTGAGTACCCTCAACTGTGAAAGTCAGTAGAAGTTATCTGAAGCATGGAAGTTTTATTCACTTTACAGCTGTTTTCCTTATTTTTCATTATTTTTCATTTGAGGATGAAATTAAATGCTTGGTGTTGTACACAACAAGTAGGAAGAAACAAGGTTCTTCCCAGAAAAGGCCAAAATCCACAATTTCTGTAAGGACTGTAATGCCTTGACTCCACTGGCTGAGCATAACTTGTATCAGTTAATGAGGCAAGTGGTGTAGGATTGAACTCTGAACTTCCCCCAGTGACAGTTTTGGTAGCAAACAACTTAAATGACATGCATTTAATATCCTGTTTTAATTACCTGAGCCTGTCTACAACTGTTACCAAACTGCTATCAAGTGAAAAACCAAACTGAGAGGCAATTCCCCCTTTTCCACCGCAGCATCGCACGGGAAGCCTGGCAGGGTTGAAGCACTCACGGAGGTGGCCATGTTTCCTACCACCAGGAAGTGAGCGAGCGTTGCTCAAGCCCAGCAGCTATGGCAGCCGATGAGAGGGACTACAACCTGACGGAGGAGCAGAGGGCTATCAAAGCCAAATACCCACCGCTCAATAAGAAATATGAATGTGAGTGTTTTTAACGCTATCCAGATGCAGCGTATGTGCAACAGTGCAGTCGTGAGGGGGAGGGAGGGGAAGGAAGGTAGCAGGATATGCTTTTTAGACACGTGGGGGTTCTTAATATGCCGGTATCGTATGTGTTTAGACTGTGGGATGCATCTGTAGTTGAATTAATAAAGATGCAATACCTACAATTTTCTTTATCACAGATAAATGCCTTTGTTGTGATGGGTGCTAAAGAAATCACGATAGAAATAAATTAGTTAAGTCTCACCTTGAAAACTTTCTCCTTTCAAGCTATTTCTTAGCAAGGCAGTACATTTTTCTGTTTCTCTTACATAGGAATTGATATTCAAGGGTGTGTTGGTCTTTTGTGCTGTGTTTTTTCTCTTACATGCACTTACTAAAAGATCATTATCTCTCCCTTTCCCCACCCCTGGAATGTCTTCTAAGAACATGTCAAGCAAGTGGCTGGCAGCCCGGGGGCTAGCTTAAGGCGCTTACAGGAGACCATTCAGTGTCTGACTGTTTTCTATTTCAGCGGTGTCTGTCTGGAGGGACAGTGTCTATTACTCTGTTAGAATATATATTTTTAGGATGTGTCCAGATCTTTATTCGATAGCAGTGCAGAAATATGGTGACATATTACAATAGTCACGCTATTTCCATAACTGGAAGAGGTTTTATTCTTCTTTTACATCCACTGGAATTTGTTTGCTTTAGAAACCGTTGTTGAGAATCCATTAATAGTGTGTGGACGATCTAAACAGCATCAGAACAATCTTTCAGTTAGAGTGATCATGGTGTGGCATTTATTTTACATCCCAAGTTAGCTCTGTTTCTGCCAACCTGGTATAATTTTGCATTTCTCTCATTCCTTTAAATGAATATAAATGATGTTCATGTAAAATTTAATACATGCTTGGGATGTTAATCCTACCTTATTAGTGAAGATTGCCTTCTATTTTGTATTACATACTTTTTTAAAAGTTCTCCTTTTTGCATAATGGGTGTTTTGGGTGTGGACAGGTATATTTGTTCACTGAGCTGGAAATATTTGCAAATCTCATCCTCTGCATGAATAATTTTCAGTCCTGCAGACTTCAGCAAAAACTCTTTACTCCTGGTTAAAGTTTCTTTTTATTGCAGTTAACTTGTAGAAGCCTGTTGTGTTACAACAGCCATGCCTCGCACACAGTGCTGTACACGTAGCGCACTGACAGAATTATATTAAACGCTGTTTTTCTGCTTGGCAGAAATAATCCAAGATTCCACCTGTACTAACTTTTTCTAATATACTGGAATATAGATTATCGCTATTTCACATCTGAAAATGAATGCAAAAGGTTCTTGTTACAACAACAATATCTGATTTCCTTTTTTTTAATCCTCATTTTTAAAATATGTTTGGTGATGTCATGCCTTTTCTTTTTCCTTCCCCTTCAGATTTGGATCACACAGCAGATGTGCAGTAAGTATGGGCAGCTGGGATTTCTCAGTATGACAAATTGATTATTTCTTACACTGCTATAAAATTGGAGTACCTGTCAAAGACTGGTTGCAGATGTACACCTTATGGAACTATGAAATGTCACAGGCTGGGTTTTTTGATGGTCAGTTTTGTTTCTGCTCTTGGGAGAGCATAGAATCACGTTTGGTTTCTTTTCTGATGTAATATTCCTATGGTGCTTCTGATTAAGCTTCTGTTATTTGGAAATGTCTTTTGAAATCTCCTTTTAATCTCTTCCTTTTAAACCAAATTTCTTCTGAGTAGTTCACTTTTATAGACATCAATTAGCCATATTAGGAAAGAACTTTCTCGTTGTCTGGTAAAGTATGCATTTTCCATCTTCTCCCAAGAAACTCCTCTCACAAACCACAAGAAGGAAAATCTCTTGTAATCTGCCCAAATGCATAGGTATAGAAAAGCAAGTATTTTTGTTCATTCACTTCCTCTGCATTAATTCTCATGTTCTGATTTCTCACCTGCATGTTACTTTGGCGTTTTTTTTTTTTTTTTTTTTTTTTTTTTTTTTTGTTATGGTCTGGTAAATTATCCCATGTCTTTTTTAGGCTACATGCCTGGGGAGACACTTTGGAAGAAGCATTTGAGCAGTGCGTTATGGCCATGTTTGGCTACATGACTGATACAGAGACCGTGGAACCTGTGGATACAGTAGAGGTAGAGGCAGAAGGTAAGGCTGCATTGACTTTTTATATTGGAACTGTATGAACCCTGAGGGAGAAGAGTACCAAAATTTTGAATCTTTAGATGTAGTTTTGTTACAGTTAATTAAAATCTAATTAAGCATTACTAATCTGAATCTTCTAATAATGCAGAAGCTGTACATCTGACATACTCTTAAAAACGTTTGGATGTTCTTGCTGAGACAATCAACTGACTATCTTCTCTGCTTCAACCATGCAGGGCATGACATGTTGTCTCTTCTCTTCCACTTCTTGGATGAGTGGCTGTATAAATTCAGTGCTAATGAGTTCTTTATACCCAGAGTAAGTGTTCTGTTTTGTTCTTTTTCCATTTGTAGGTCGAGGCTATTCTCTGATAATACCAGCTCTGAATGCAATGTTACTTTAGGAAAAAAGGGGACACAACAGATCACTTAAGCACAACACATGGAGAATTGAAGATACCAGGGCAGAAGGACTTGAGAAACAAAATTTTAAGCTTTGTTATCACAAACACCAATCATTAGCTGCCATTATACCGTTGGGGCAGCTCTGCAAGTAGCAGTCTGTTTGAGGCTGCTCAGATCCTCTGGTTTTAGATTCTGTTTAAACAGTGGGATATAACCCTTGTAAATGGGATTTACTGAGACTTTCTGCCTGAAGATAGACAATGTTACTGACATATTTCTCCTCTTGCTTTTTCTGCAGGAGGTGAAAGTGCTTTACATTGACCGAATGCAATTCAAAATAAGATCAATTGGGTGAGCTTAAACGATCAGTTGAGTAATGAGTATCTTTACTGAAAACGCACATACTGCCTTCAGAGTAACCCCTCTGAAGTACTGTCATGTGCTGGAGTTCACTGATGCTGTCTAAAAAGTGGATTGTGGGCTTCTTTTTTTCTTCCTTTGAGGCTTTAAATGAAAATCTCACTGCCCTATGCTCATCAATGAAACTAATTTTAACATTTGATAAGTATTAACAAAATTACAAACTACCTCTCTTCTTTTTGCCTTTAAAGGTGGGGAGAAGAGTTCTCTTTACCAAAACACCCTCAGGTATGCAGTGGTTCATCTGTACATCTTTTACATTTTAGGGGTAGGATGGGGAGGGGTGGTGTTTTTTAAATCAGACCTCTGAGTTCTCAAGGGATCCAAGTATAAACGCATCTGAATGGTATCACAGGCACTGAACTTAAGATCTCACTTTCTGCCTGTTTTTTGTGAATGCGTTCCTGAAACTGTTGACCTGAGCATCTGATGCTTCCTCAGCACTAGCAAAACTCAACAGTTGACTTCCTTTTTGTGATGCTGGTAACACAGTAAACCAATCTATATTCAGAATGTGTACATGGGTTTGGTTTTCACACTATTATCACAGCTTTTTGCTTAGTCAGTTATTGCCTTTTTTTTCCCCCTAAAGAAATACTAGAAGTAAATCCGTATCTCCCCACCAGCTCCTTAGCTGTGTCAGTATTAGCATAGCAAATGTTGATGTTCTGTCAGAGGTAAGAGGAGGAATTTGTAGTATTCAAGAGGCAATAAAATAAGGGAAGAGTTACTTCTTCACTCTTTGGCCTGGCCAAGTCTTTGCCATTAGTATGCCAACTTTCTTAATCATCGGAACAAATACAGTTACAACTGTTCGGGGAGAAAAACTATTAAACTGGTTAGCATTTGTAGAAGGTGGTAAATACTGTGTATTATCATGAACTGCTGCAAAGGATGTAATTTAGAAAATCCATGTGTCTTTTGTGACTTTTCTCTCTAGGGCACAGAGGTCAAAGCCATAACTTACTCAGCAATGCAGATCTGTGAAGATGAAAAGCCAGAAGTCTTTGTCATCATTGATATTTAAAGGAAGAAAAATGTGATCAAGTGGATATTTGTCATTGGCTGGCAAAAGTCCCTTGAAAACTGTAATCCCTGTGGAAGTAACTAAGGAATTGGCAAACTCAAGTCATAAATTGAAGGGAGTAATTGCGGGGAATGTCAGTCTCTGTTTTGACTTGAGGATGGTGAGCCAGACAAATTCCTGCATGCCAGGAAAAAAAGAACTAATTGGGGTTTGGGGGGTGTTGAGAGGAAGAGAGAGAGTTGTAGAGGTTGAAAGTCTCTCAGAAATGCTAGTAGTCGGCTGTAAAGGCTGATACATGTGTTAGGTGCTATATGAACTAAACAGAGAAATTAGTGGAGCTGCTAGCTAAAATACTACCTTTTTTGTAGGGTGGCAGGAGATAATGTTAATCTATATGATTTCATTTGCAGATTTGAATATTCTAATTCTGAGGTGACATCCCTCCTCCATATTATATAAAGGGTCCAAAATATCTGCAGTGGGTCAGATGTAATGTAGAAAAATTTCTGACTGTTCAAAGGACACCTAAGAAAGTATATCAATTAAAAAAACAAACCACCACACCTTCTAGACTACTTTAAAAAAAAAAAAAAGGTCATGCCAGCAGGTGGTGCTGACTTGCTGTAAATAAATTTCCACATGAAATCATAAAGCATGTGACCGTGTACATGGAATCCTAGTAGCACCTATTATCACTCTAAGTAGGCAGCTTTGCTGCTGCTGTAGAAAGGGATGCACCAGCTTCTCTGCGGGTTCGCTCCCAACTATGTCTTGCGAAACCTGATTCTTTTCTTTTAAAAGGCAGATGATTTCAATCAGGTTCCATTTCTTCCTTTAGAAAGGACAATACGGGCAATCCTTTAATGCCAGAGGATGATGGACTTCAGTTCACTGAATCAAAAATAATCGAAAGTGTGTTTTGTTTTAAATCACAGGACTGCAAATGTGCGTTATCTGCCATTGGTATTTAAATGTGAGGGGCATGGTGAGTAAGGGACCGTCAGTGCTGGCCTGACCTGCCTTTTTTATCATAAATGTTGCAAGTGCCTCACCTCTGGAGGTAGTGTCTCATCTTTATTTTGTTGTAAAGTCATCTTAAATAGATCTGGATTTATTTCCTTGTTGTGAAGATTGAGGGATAAAATCCCTTTTATTTTTTGAGAAAGCTTCAATGCTGAAATAAAACTTGGACTGAAAGAATTAATGGATTTGTGTGTGAATGATTTTGGCCAGTGGATTTTTAACACCAGTGAATTACATTTGTGCTATGCTCTCTGCTAAGGTGAGCAGACTTTTTTGTAGATAAGAATGACGATACGCCTATTCGATGGTACAAAAATCAGTATTATCTTTCACACATTGGGTTTTTCTCCCCTTCTCAGGAGCAGCCCCAGGGCTCCAGCACA